GGCTTCGTTTATCTGTACTGGAGTACAATTTTCCCGTCTTAAAGTAAATGTAACGTGAGTACATTTTGTGGCATTGACTTTTATTTTCCATTTGTCCAGCCACTTTTCCAATTCGCCGATGTGAGACTGGAGTTGTTCAGAAGCTATTGAAGGGTTTTCATGTATACTTACAAAAGCGGTATCGTCCGCAAATGTAGATGTGTGAGTCAGTGCGCTCGTTGGCATATATGCAGTATATAAAATATATAGGAACGGACCTAGAATACTCCCCTGGGGTACTCCAGCAGATATTTTTCGACGTGAAGAGATCACATATTTTGATCTGATTTGAAAAGATCTTTCATATATGTAATTTTTAAGCAGTTTGTGAACATTCGCAGGTAGTAATGTGATAATTTTGTGTATTAGTCCATGGTGCCAGTCTTTATCGAAAGCTTGAGAAATATTTATGAATAATGCTGAGCAATATTGCTTGCTCTCGAAGGCCTTCCGAATAAGAGTAGTTATTCGATGTACCTGTTCGATAGTGCTGTGCTTTCTTCTGAAACCAAACTGATGGTCAGGAATAATGCAATTATCGTTGAGGTGTAGTATAAGGCTTTCAAGTAATAACTTTTTAAAAAGTTTTGAGAATATAGACAACAGGCTAATGGGACGGTATAATGTCACTTGAGTGACATCTTTTCCCGGTTTTGGTATCATAACAATTTCGGATACTTTCCATGAGGTAGGGAAATATCTACTACGTAGCATTGAGTTAAAGATGAACAAAATAATTCTTAGAGCTGAATTGGGCAGGTTACTTATCATTGTGGTAGTAATTTTATCTATACCAGGTGATTTTTCTGCCTTTAGATCTTTGATTGTCGTTTTCACGGTAGAGAACCCGAATTTTATTGGGCGTGGAACCACATTATTTATAATGTTAGCACTAATAGAAGAATCAGTATCATTTCGAGTAAACACATTCTCCAAGTGATTGGCGAATGGTTCAATTTTTTCTGACGTATTTCTTGCCCATTCACCATTCTGGAGGCGTATGGGTGACTCATACGCAATAGAGCGTATGGGTGACTCATATGCAATAGGGCATTGCATATTCTTAATTGCTTTCAAGAGACTATATTCTGATTTCTTAGTAGGGTCTTAGTTTTTGAGATAGTTTCTCAGATTAGATTCCTTATTAATTTTTAAGGCGATGTGAAGTCTTCTTTGGCACTGATTAAGTTTAACCTTTATGTTTGGAGATCGCGATTGTTGCCATTGACGTCTGAGTGTTCTCTTTTCTTTAATAAGAGACTCAATGTTTCTAGGACATTTCGAATTTTTGTATTCTCCCAAGGTGACTGGGGGTGTAGACACTTTGACAGCATCTTGTAAGATATCCGTAAATATATCGACAGCGGATTGTATTTCATGGTAATTTTTCAATGAAATGTTTTGTGGCAAGTGTGAGCTAACATACATTTTATACTTTAACCAGTTCGTCTCCTTGTTAGGGAAACAAGAACAATAGTTTTCCAATTTATTTGGGGTTTCTAATAACGTTAAAAATGTAGGCGAGTGGTCTGCCGAGAGGTCAAGTGAAGGGATCACTGAAATAAATTCTCGTTTTATATTTTTGATTACAGCAAAGTCAATTAGATCGGGAATCTTATTGAGGTCTGTAGGCCAATAGGTTGGTTGGCCACTAGATATGGCATCTAGTCTGTTATGCGATATTGCTTCTAGCAATTGTCTGCGAGAGCCCCAAAATGTATGTTTTGCATTATAATCACCAGCTGCTATGAATCTTGTTCTCGATTAACATTATACGTAGGAGGACAATATATTGAAGATATTGTAACTCTACTATCGGGTATATTTATAGAGGTGGCCTGGATATGGTCCTATTTGTATTCTGGCATTGGGAAATGTCTAATATTTTTTCTCACTAAAATAGCTGTTCCACCACTGGCACTGCGACTTGGATGTTTAAGTATAGTGTGACCATGTTAAGCGGCGATCAAGGTGGATACCAAGATATCTCACATGGCTTCGTTTATCTGTACTGGAGTACAATTTTCCCGTCTTAAAGTAAATGTAACGTGAGTACATTTTGTGGCATTGACTTTTATTTTCCATTTGTCCAGCCACTTTTCCAATTCGCCGATGTGAGACTGGAGTTGTTCAGAAGCTATTGAAGGGTTTTCATGTATACTTACAAAAGCGGTATCGTCCGCAAATGTAGATGTGTGAGTCAGTGCGCTCGTTGGCATATATGCAGTATATAAAATATATAGGAACGGACCTAGAATACTCCCCTGGGGTACTCCAGCAGATATTTTTCGACGTGAAGAGATCACATCTTTTGATCTGATTTGAAAAGATCTTTCATATATGTAATTTTTAAGCAGTTTGTGAACATTCGCAGGTAGTAATGTGATAATTTTGTGTATTAGTCCATGGTGCCAGACTTTATCGAAAGCTTGAGAAATATCTATGAATAATGCTGAGCAATATTGCTTGCTCTCGAAGGCCTTCCGAATAAGAGTAGTTATTCGATGTACCTGTTCGATAGTGCTGTGCTTTCTTCTGAAACCAAACTGATGGTCAGGAATAATGCAATTATCGTTGAGGTGTTCAAGAAGGCTTTCAAGTAATAACTTTTCAAAAAGTTTTGAGAATATAGACAACAGGCTAATGGGACGGTGTGATGTCACTTGAGTGACATCTTTTCCCGGTTTTGGTATCATAACAATTTCGGATACTTTCCATGAGGTAGGGAAATATCCAATACGTAGCATCGAGTTAAAGATGAACAAAATAATTCTTAGTGCTGAATTGGCAGGTTACTTATCATTGTGGTAGTAATTTTATCTATACCAGGTGATTTTCCTGCCTTTAGACCTTTGAATGTCGTTTTCACGGTAGAGAACCCGAATTTTACGCAATAGAGCGTATGGGTGACTCATATGCTATAGAGCGTATGGGTGACTCATATGCAATAGGGCATTGCATATTCTTAATTGCTTTCCAGAGACTATATTCTGTTTTCTTAGTAGGGTCTAAGTTTTTGAGATAGTTTCTCAGATTAGATTCCTTATTAGTTTTTAAGGCGATGTGAAGTCTTCTTTGGCACTGATTAAGTTTAACCTTTATGTTTGGAGATCGCGATTGTTGCCATTGACGTCTGAGTGTTCTCTTTTCTTTAATAAGAGACTCAATGTTTCTAGGACATTTCGAATTTTTGTATTCTCCCAAGGTGACTGGGGGTGTAGACACTTTGACAGCATCTTGTAAGATATCCGTAAATATATCGACAGCGGATTGTATTTCATGGTAATTTTTCAATGAAATGTTTTGTGGCAAGTGTGAGCTAACATACATTTTATACTTTAACCAGTTCGTCTCCTTGTTAGGGAAACAAGAACAATAGTTTTCCAATTTATTTGGGGTTTCTAATAACGTTAAAAATGTAGGCGAGTGGTCTGACGAAAGGTCCAGTGAAGGGATCACTGAAATAAATTCTCGTTTTATATTTTTGATTACAACAAAGTCAATTAGATCGGGAATCTTATTGAGGTCTGTAGGCCAATAGGTAGGTTGGCCACTAGATATGGCATCTAGTCTGTTATGCAATATTGCTTCTAGCAATTGTCTGCGAGAGCCCCAAAACGTATGTTTTGCATTATAATCACCAGCTGCTATGAATCTTGTTCTCGATTAACATTATACCTAGGAGGACAATATATTGAAGATATTGTAACTCTACTATCGGGTATATTTATAGAGGTGGCCTGGATATGGTCCTTTTTGTATTCTGGCATTGGGAAATGTCTAATATTTTTTCTCACTAAAATAGCTGTTCCACCACTGGCTCTGCCACTTGGATGTTTAAGTATAGTATCCATTAATTCTGAAACAATTCTTTAGGGTAAAGTGTGTTTCAGAGACGAGTAGTACGTCAATTTCCTGAAGTAGCAGAAATTGTTCTACTTCATTCTTGTGTTGGCTAAGGCCGTTAGCATTCCAAAAACAAATTCTTAGCGAATTCATTTTTTATTTAGCAGGATCTGCATGAGCATGCTTTGATTCTGCATTAATTGTTGAAACATATTTTGCATATTTGCCATGAAACTGTTCATGGTTTGAATTCGATTCTCAATAGAGCTTTGAGAATTTGTTTCGGGTGCGGGTACACCCTTTTTTAATGCATGTGCATATGAAAATAATGGGGTATTATTTTCATTATTTTTGTGCAAATTTTCATTATTCTATATTGGACTCTAGAAGTTTGTTTTGCATTCATTTGGGTAACGGAGCCATCTTTTGTCGTACGATTTATTCTGATTACTTTTATTTGTAATACTTTTATATTGAGCACTAGAAGTATTAGGAAGGTTTGTGAAGTTAGAAGCTTTATATTGAGCATATAAAAGTCTTCTGGCCTTATTTGATTGTTGGATGTGTAGATATACTGGACATCCGCGATAGTTTGCAGTGTGATTTGGGCCACAGTTACTTGGGTTTTATGGATGTCTCCGCATCTCACACAAACAGATGGTAATTTGCAGAAAGTTCTGGTGTGACCGAACTCTTGGCAATTTAGGCATTGAAGAGGACCTCTGTGCTTAATTGGTTCCTCTACAGTTATTTTGCGATTAAGAAGATATCTCAAACTGTATATTGGATGAGTATCACCCTTTTTCTTCAATTGTGAAGAGTTAAAAGTAATTTCAACTCTAAACATTGGTTGAGGAATTTTGTCCTTGTTAAATATATTGTGAATGGAATTCACTTCATAACCTTCAGACTCTAGCGCATTTTTAATGTCATCAGTTGGTACAGAGCTGTCTGTACCCTTTGATAACTACTGTCAAACCCTTTGCACTTTTTAGTTGATACGTGTAATAATTTCTTTTCTCAGAATCAAAATTATCAACTATTGTCCTAAAAGACTTTTCTGAATAAGTCTGTATTTTTGTTTCCTGAATGTTTCCTTTGCGTAGAGAGACTACGTGGAAATTTTCTTTGCCAAGTTGGGACAACTTATAACCCAATAGATTGGTGGTAGGTTCGTGCAAATACAAGGGAGGTGGCTTGCAGTCTTTTAAAGGCATGGATGGTATTTTTTCACTTTCTTGGTTATCAAGGAGTGCAAAACGATTTTGACTTACCGAATTTGTTTTCGCCTGTTTTGGATTTGGTTCCAATTTTGAAGTCCTAGGGCTCGACTTACGTTTTGTATAAGTGACATAACGGTCCATTCCCGTTTGGATCTTTTCCGTTTTATGCGAGCTCAATGTATTTTTTGGTATGGCACCAGTATACTTTGACATTGACATAAAATATTTGGACAATTTTTGAAAATTATTTAGTTAATTATTTTATTAAAGACTATAACATTGTATATACAATAAAAAATGATAATTTTATTATGAGCCACGCACAACAACACCTAAATCACCCCACACAAACCACCTTTCCCGCCCACCGAAATATAAAACACAATTTATTACAATATCATCAGTTAGTATAATAGCTTTTTTTATTTGAACTGTTTATCTTAAACATAATACAATTAATTCTTACAACCTACTTATATAGTTAATTCCTAACACTACTTATTTTCTATAAAATAATCTGTCATATCGGTATATGTACATATCCAGAAGGTAATATAAGTCCTTTAAATCTTCCTTGTTTTGAGATGATAGAGTTTCATAACAAATCCATCTTTTTCTCATAGTTGAAAAAACAGGATCAGAAGATAGAAGTAAACTATTAAAAATATCTTCATTCTGTGATTGCCTGGAGCATTTTCTTGAGCTGAATAGTTGTACATGCTTAAAATCTCGATTCCTCGCTTCCTGGGCGAGTGGAAGAATATTCAAGTGGAAGAATATTCGATTCAATTATTATTTGACCATGACACAATACTTTGTGTGCTGTTGGTGTTAGTTCCCTCCATGGATACAGAGATACAAGTAATTTAGAAATTTCAGATGTATATTCCCCAAATCGATTTCCATTAATTTTATGTTTACTATTCAGTGCCATTAAAATAGTGTTAACTCTTCGAAGCAACTCCTTGTCGATTCCAGTTATTTTTGAAGTAATTTCAAAATCACGAAAAAACCTTCTCGCCGTATTACCGTCATTTGTACTACCGCAACTTGGAAGTGGTTTGTCGATGTTTAATCCCATCTGAACTTTAAATTCTTCTTGGATTCTGCTTTTTTCCGCAGCTCTCAGTTCTTTCAATTCTTCATTATTTTTTGTTGATTTAGTAAGATTCTCTGGCACACTTCTATATTTCAGGTCTTGATTTCAGGTCGTATGCTATGTGTAAAAAGTAATAAGGAAGAAGTTTCTGTTATGGCATTGTTGACCTTTCCATCAATCATTGTTAAGCTTAGCTGATATGATACGTTAATAGAGAATTCCTTTATTTTTATGCAAATGGGCTCCAGTGCATTTATTTCATCTTTTAAATATTCCACTAAATCTTTTGTTGTTTTCTTTGACTCCTTTATATATTCAAATCCAATGGGTCTACAAAAATTTTTTGAACCCGGAGTTGTATTGATCCATATATCTTCAAATGAATTTCCGATGCTTGACGATGATGGATTAAGGGAATATGAACGAATTCGTAATGGCACTAATGATGACATAAATACACTTTTGTAGTTTGCTAATGTCCGATTTCCACAAGCTTGTTTGTATTCTGGAAGTGCTGATAAACCGTCACATCCCCACTTACACATTAAGACAACATCACAATTATGAATTTTCTTTAGTTGGTCTTCTGAAAAGTCTGACACAATTCTTGATGCTGTGTTTTCGAGCAAAGATGATATATCAATACAAGCTTCCACATCATTAACAGCAATAGGTGATGGTAGGATAGTTTGTTTTTTTTCCTGGATCACCTTGTATGATGGTAATATATTGTGTCCTTTTTCATGCAGAGCTTTCCTTAATATTTGGTACTTATTTCGACTGAGACCCAGTTCCAACATAAGCGCTATTGCTTCCTCTCCAGTAAAATTTGATTGTGATGTTGGAGTTGGTATACTTTCCACAATTCGCTTAAGTCGTTTTGGTGATGCATTAGGAAGAATAGTTGCAATATGTACGGCATCCATAGGTTGGTTTTCCTTTATCAGCATTTCGTTAAATGTATCAGCAATTTCCTCATTTGAGATTGAAAAAAGTTTTTGTGTGACCCTCTTTTTTTTGAGCTTGAACATAAGTCTTCGTATGACTTGCAAGGCGCTCCTGTTGATGTGTTGTAAGTTGAGATTTCCGTAGTAGTTTCCATCCAACTACAAAATTTTAATCGAAATTTCTTTTAATTTCCATCCACAGACTTACTTTTTACATCAAAAAGTTTTCAATTTTTGATATGCCTGTTTTGTCTACTTTTCTACTATATGTAGTTTTTATATAATTTGAAATGTCTTCAATTCTTTCTGGCCCTTTTGAAGATACACTCCATAAAACGGAACACAACTCTTCGTACTTTAATGTAATCTTCATTGTAGATTTATTAAATATGGTACTTAAAATCTGAGAAGTTTACTTATATACCAATTCTTGTCATTTCCGATACAGGTATTCCAAAGTAAAAAATTACGAATTGTCTACCTATTAACATTAGGACTATATTACTATAACCTGTAATTCAGTCATTGATATTTCTTATTAGTGAATGAATCGAAATTATCATTACCTGTATATTTTTACCTACATGATCATAAACGAAACAGAACGAAATGATCTGTCGAAAAAATTGAGGTAAAAAATAGTTATAAATTTCTGAAAATTTAAGCAAACAAATAGAAAATAGGTAAATATAAGATTCAAATATGTTCTGTCATATTTAATACTAAAATATGAAAAATATGAAATTTAAGGATACAGGTTTAAATGAACATATTTTTGAATGTAATTGAGATATTGGCTTGAAAATTTTTGTAAAGAATCGAGAATTTCCATATCTAACTAAAAAATATATTAAGGGATAAATATGGACTAAATTGTTGTAGCTATCTGCGACCCTATTAAAATTTTGATATAAATCATAGTTTTAGAAATTAAACAAATATGTAATATATGACAAAATCTTTATTTATGAACAAAACTCAATGAGATTTTCAACGCTTGTTAAATTTGTCATTTCAAATAAGAAAATGCAAAAAAAAATTGAAAAGGTCAAAGGGCATCCCGCAATTCCCAAAAATATGAATGAAAATCACAAAAATGGGATTTTTTACTTTTTTGCCCATAGGGTCCACATTTCTTTCAGGGCTGGGAAAATACTTTTGGAGTAAATAGAAAACATATTGAGGTTTCCAAAACTGCTTTCAGTTTTCTAATCCCAGCTTTGGGATTTTAGAACATGTCGCCCAAAGTTGAAGTTTTGATAAAAAATAGGTCATATTCGGAAGGACGCAGTGGCAACATTTTAAAAAAATAGGACAAGTTTTTTACGTCAAAGCGTTCTGCGTAAAGATACCTTTTAGAAAACTATAAAATTGTTATATGTTCTTAAAGAATATTTTATTTTATTAATAAAAGAGTTAAGACACATTTTTGGCAAAAAACGGCAAAAATCTAAAATTTTTTGAATTTATAAATTAAAAAACGTATATTTTTGGATCTGTAAATGATATTGATCTGAAATTTTTTGTATATTATTGGAAATTTTGTTGTCTAACTAACAAGTCCATTTGGTTCAAAATTACACCCGGTATTCAAAAAAAGGCGGACCAAGGTATGGTAAATTTTGTATCACTAAATTTTTAAATGCCTATAACTCGGATATTATAAGAGATAAGTAGTATGTCCAAGCATGTTTTTTCAAGATCTCGTCGAGCGCTTTCAGAAAATATAAAAATCTTTGTATTTGGGTGAACGAGTGAACGAGGCACGAGTTTAAAAATTTTACATGTCGTAGGTACCCTACTTTGAGCCGCCACAGCGCCGTCCCTGGGTCATCTGCAGGGTTCATCTTCAAAACTACTTGGCTACGCTCACGCCAAATTTTATACCGATCGGATCAGCCGTTTAGAAATGCCAGATTTATTTCCAAAAAATTTCGATTCTGCCCCACTGTGCACAGTTCAATGCCGTATAGCAATATCGGTTTTATAACTGTTTTGTACAAAAGCACTTTGTACTCCAAGTCTAGAGCAGACCGTGGTCCAATTAGGCAGTACATTTGAGTTGACTTTAATTTTATCTGTGTAATCTTGGCTTCTATGTGGTGAGTCCATGTTAAGCGGCGATCAAGGTGGATACCAAGATATCTCACATGGCTTCGTTTATCTGTACTGGAGTACAATTTTCCCGTCTTAAAGTAAATGTAACGTGAGTACATTTTGTGGCATTGACTTTTATTTTCCATTTGTCCAGCCACTTTTCCAATTCGCCGATGTGAGACTGGAGTTGTTCAGAAGCTATTGAAGGGGTTTCATGTATACTTACAAAAGCGGTATCGTCCGCAAATGTAGATGTGTGAGTCAGTGCGCTCGTTGGCATATATGCAGTATATAAAATATATAGGAACGGACCTAGAATACTCCCCTGGGGTACTCCAGCAGTGAAGAGATCACATCTTTTGATCTGATTTGAAAAGATCTTTCATATATGTAATTTTTAAGCAGTTTGTGAACATTCGCAGGTAGTAATGTGATAATTTTGTGTATTAGGTGTAGGGATTTTTCCCTTTTTGTAGGGATTTTTTTCAAAAATTTCACGTGTAGGGAAAAAGGGAAAGATTTCTTACTATTGTCAAATTGTAGGGATTTTTCAATTTCATAGTTTTTAACAACTAAAAATATACTCTTTCATGTATTAAACTTTTAAATTAAAAATGAAATCAGTTTTAAGTGTATCGTTAGTAAAAATTCCGCTTGTAATTTCTAATTCGGCTTTCTTGAACTAAGGTCTTCAAAACATGCGACATACTAAAATCTTTCATATAGATTTATGAAATTTCAAATATGTCTATTATTTTCGATGTGAAATCGATTTTTTGTAAACGTAAAAACTAAAACCCACGTTTTTGTGAATATTAGACAACTAAAAATTTAATTTCAATTTAGATGAGAAACATATTAACCTCAACTATCTGAATCTGGATTTTTAAAACCCCTTGATTTGTTTAAAAGTTATTAAAAAAATAGTTAAATGTCATTAAATATTCATATCCATTTTTCTTGAAACGACTTTTTGGATTATGCCAATTCTGTAGGGCGATATATTCTGACTCCTTATAGATAGAGTAGTCGGGGGCTTAATGCAGTAACTCAGGATTGAAAAAATGAATTTAATGTTCTGAAAATTTATAAAAGTAAACCGCAAAAAGTAAACGCAAAAGTAAACCTTATTTAAAATAATTATTTTATGAAATTTTTTTTGTTGGAGGCACATAAAATAAATTTTTATCACGATTCGATATACTGCCATAAATCTTTCAATTGTTTTTTTTTTAATCTTAACTAAAGAGTCAGGGTTAGAAGATTTGTATGATGTAAAATTGAAAGAAAAAAAAAATTAAAATTTAAATTCTAGAAATCTCATTCCTAAAAATTAAAAAAAAAATACATATATGTATATTATAAAACGGAGCTAATATTTTAGTTTTTGATGTTATTTTTGTATTTTTTTAAGATAAACTTTGAAAAAAAATGGAAAAAAGTAGTGTAGGGAAAAATGTAGGGAAAATAAAAAGTGGGTGTAGGGAAAAAAGGGATTTTTTCTCATAAGCGTAGGGATTTCTGAAAAAAATCTCCTGGCATCACTGAGTCCATGGTACCAGACTTTATCGAAAGCTTGAGAAATATCTATGAATAATGCTGAGCAATATTGCTTGCTCTCGAAGGCCTTCCGAATAAGAGTAGTTATTCGATGTACCTGTTCGATAGTGCTGTGCTTTCTTCTGAAACCAAACTGATGGTCAGGAATAATGCAATTATCGTTGAGGTGTTCAAGAAGGCTTTCAAGTAATAACTTTTCAAAAAGTTTTGAGAATATAGACAACAGGCTAATGGGACGGTATGATGTCACTTGAGTGACATCTTTTCCCGGTTTTGGTATCATAACAATTTCGGATACTTTCCATGAGGTAGGGAAATATCCAATACGTAGCATCGAGTTAAAGATGAACAAAATAATTCTTAGTGCTGAATTGGGCAGGTTACTTATCATTTTGGTAGTAATTTTATCTATACCAGGTGATTTTCCTGCCTTTAGACCTTTGATTGTCGTTTTCACGGTAGAGAACCCGAATTTTATTGGGCGTGGAACCACATTATTTATAATGTTAGCACTAATAGAAGAATCAGTATCATTTCGAGTAAACACATTCTCCAAGTGATTGGCGAATGCTTCAATTTTTTCTGATTATTTCTTGCCCATTCACCATTCTGGAGGCGTATGGGTGACTCATACCCAATAGAGCGTATGGGTGACTCATATGCAATAGAGCGTATGGGTGACTCATATGCAATAGGGCATTGCATATTCTTAATTGCTTTCCAGAGACTATATTCTGTTTTCTTAGTAGGGTCTAAGTTTTTGAGATAGTTTCTCAGATTAGATTCCTTATTAGTTTTTAAGGCGATGTGAAGTCTTCTTTGGCACTGATTAAGTTTAACCTTTATGTTTGGAGATCGCGATTGTTGCCATTGACGTCTGAGTGTTCTCTTTTCTTTAATAAGAGACTCAATGTTTCTAGGACATTTCGAATTTTTGTATTCTCCCAAGGTGACTGGGGGTGTAGACACTTTGACAGCATCTTGTAAGATATCCGTAAATATATCGACAGCGGATTGTATTTCATGGTAATTTTTCAATGAAATGTTTTGTGGCAAGTGTGAGCTAACATACATTTTATACTTTAACCAGTTCGTCTCCTTGTTGGGAAACAAGAACAATAGTTTTCCAATTTATTTGGGGTTTCTAATAACGTTAAAAATGTAGGCGAGTAGTCTGACGAAAGGTCCAGTGAAGGGATCACTGAAATAAATTCTCGTTTTATATTTTTGATTACAACAAAGTCAATTAGATCGGGAATCTTATTGAGGTCTGTAGGCCATTAGGTAGGTTGGCCACTAGATATGGCATCTAGTCAGTTATGCGATATTGCTTCTAGCAATTGTCTGCGAGAGCCCCAAAATGTATGTTTTGCATTATAAAAACCAGCTGCTATGAATCTTGTTCTCGATTAACATTATACCTAGGAGGACAATATATTGAAGATATTGTAACTCTACTATCGGGTATATTTATAGAGGTGGCCTGGATATGGTCCTTTTTGTATTCTGGCATTGGGAAATGTCTAATATTTTTTCTCACTAAAATAGCTGTTTCACCACTGGCTCTGCCACTTGGATGTTTAAGTATAGTATCCATTAATTCTGAAACAATTCTTTAGGGTAAAGTGTGTTTCAGAGACGAGTAGTACGTCAATTTCCTGAAGTAGCAGAAATTGTTCTACTTCATTCTTGTGTTGGCTAAGGCCGTTAGCATTCCAAAAACAAATTCTTAGCGAATTCATTTTTTATTTAGCAGGATCTGCATGGGCATGCTTTGATTCTGCATTAATTGTTGAAACATATTTTGCATATTTGCCATGAAACTGTTCATGGTTTGAATTAGATTCTCAATAGAGCTTTGAGAATTTGTTTCGGGTGCGGGTACACCCTTTTTTAATGCATGTGCATATGAAAATAATGGGGTATTATTTTCATTATTTTTGTGCAAATTTTCATTATTCTATATTGGACTCTAGAAGTTTGTTTTGCATTCATTTGGGTAACGGAGCCATCTTTTGTCGTATGGGCATACGATTTATTCTGATTACTTTTATTTGTAATACTTTTATATTGAGCACTAGAAGTATTAGGAAGGTTTGTGAAGTTAGAAGCTTTATATTGAGCATATAAAGGTCTTCTGGCCTTATTTGATTGTTGGATGTGTAGATATACTGGACATCCGCGATAGTTTGCAGTGTGATTTGGGCCACAGTTACTGCATTTTCTTTTATTGTTATCTGTTTTTGGGTGGGGACAATCTTGGCTTTTATGGATGTCTCCGCATCTCACACAAACAGATGGTAATTTGCAGAAAGTTCTGGTGTGACCGAACTCTTGGCAATTTAGGCATTGAGGAGGACCTCTGTGCTTAATTGGTTCCTCTACAGTTATTTTGCGATTAAGAAGATATCTCAAATTGTATATTGGATGAGTATCACCCTTTTTCTTCAATTGTGAAGAGTTAAAAGTAATTTCAACTCTAAACATTGGTTGAGGAATTTTGTCCTTGTTAAATATATTGTGAATGGACTTCACTTCATAACCTTCAGACTCTAGCGCATTTTTAATGTCATCAGTTGGTACAGAGCTGTCTGTACCCTTTGATAACTACTGTCAAACCCTTTGCACTTTTTAGTTGATACGTGTAATAATTTCTTTTCTCAGAATCAAAACTATCAACTATTGTCCTAAAAGACTTTTCTGAATAAGTCTGTATTTTTGTTTCCTGAATGTTTCCTTTGCGTAGAGAGACTACGTGGAAATTTTCTTTGCCAAGTTGGGACAACTTATAACCCAATAGATTGGTGGTAGGTTCGTGCAAATACAAGGGAGGTGGCTTGCAGTCTTTTAAAGGCATGGATGGTATTTTTTCACTTTCTTGGTTATCAAGGAGTGCAAAACGATTTTGACTTACCGAATTTGTTTTCGCCTGTTTTGGATTTGGTTCCAATTTTGAAGTCCTAGGGCTGGACTTACGTTTTGTATAAGTGACATAACGGTCCATTCCCGTTTGGATCTTTTCCGTTTTATGCGAGCTCAATGTATTTTTTGGTATGACACCAGTATACTTTGACATTGGTCTTGAATGACTTTCCTTATTATTAATGGTTTTAATAGTGTTAATATTGTTATTATTACTATTTGTGGTATTGTTCACATTAGCATTACTATTTACATCAACCATTAAATCAGTTGTTTGTTTATCTATTTTTTCTTTTTCGTTGTCTTCCACACAATTGTCTTGTTTTGGCGCACTTGAGAGAGCAGATCTCTCGTTTCTTGTTGTTCTTACACTTAAATAGTTTTTATAATTTTTTGGATCATAATTATTGTTGTTGTATGGAGAGCTCATAACAAAGTATGCATTTTTTCCATTGCTACTAAGCCTCCTTTCACTTGTTGGAGAGTTAGAGAAACTCATGCACAATAACACAAACACTACACTTTATTGAAGGTATTGTTGTTATTTATTATTTTTTTTCTTTATGCTTTTTTTTGCTACAATTTGTTATTGTTAATAATTGCATTAAAAAAATGAAAATTTATTTAATTTAAATGTATTTTTAATATTTAAAATATATATAAGTATGTATTTAATTAGCGTCCATTCGCTGTTACTTATCTTTTTTTATATTTTTATTAAGAATTTATGTTCACAATGTTATTTTCTCGTGAGAGCGATTTTAAACACGTCTATCCACTATGAGAAACACTACAAAAAAATTACTTAAACACACATTACTTATTACCAAATTACGATATAGATACAAAATGTGACTGGAAATATAGCTTTTATGTACAAAAATTTTGCCTACAGAATTTTTTACGATCGGTCTATAATTGGTCATATCTCCCATACTAGGCCCTGCCCTTAAAGTTGCATTATCAATTTGTGTAGAACAAAATTATATATATGTATTTTGAAAACCTTTAAATCTTTCACACACATGCATACATTATTAAATATTTCTAAAGCATATCTTATGGAGCTATATAAATATAAAAGAAAATGGTGTTTGTAATGTTCAATAAATCTTGGAATTGTAATAAATTTAAGCTGTTTAAATCTTGGGCTTTTTCTATTTAAGACATGAGAAAACTTATTTCTACAAATATTTGATCAATTAGAAAAATATGAATATAGAAGTAGGGTATTTAAGATTCGGCTCAGCCGAATATAGCTCTCTAACTTGCTATACCCTCCACCACCATCAGTGGTGATAGAGGCTATATATAAGTTTGTCATTCCGTGTAACGCCAAGAAATATTCATCTGAGACCCAATAAAGTATATATATTATGGATCCTTATGAAATTCTGAGTCGATTTAGCTATGTCCGTCCGTCCGTCTGTCTGTCTGTGTAAAACACGCTCACGTTAAAACGAAGCAATGGAAATTAAAGAAATTCAGCCAAAATATTCATTATTATCCGGTACAGTTTGATCTTAAAAATGAGCAAAATCGGTTCACATCGGGAAAAGTTGTGATTCCTGCTGAAAATTGCCAGAATCCCTTCATAATTTCATATACCTCCCTTACAAAAGTACATATTCCCGGAAAACGAGTTTTTTGTTAATAACTTCCGTCAGAATGTTGATATCATCAAAAAATTTGACAAATTAAAATATTATGTCAATAGAATTCATTGGAAGAAAAAATTTTCTGGATCGGTCCATAATTGGACATAGCTCCCATACAATGTCCCTCCCGAAAATCACTTAAACGGGAATAATTCATTATTAAATTAAGATATCCATATAAAATTTGGTACAAATATTGCTCTCACATACAGAAATAGTACATACAAGGTCCCCTCCCGAAAATCACTTAAACGCGCATAACTCATTACTAACTTAAGATATCTATATAAAATTTGGAATAAGTATTGCTCATGTGCACAAAGATATTACTGTGAAAGTTTTTTCGAATCGGTCCATAATTGGTCATAGCTCCCATACAAGGTCCCCTCCCGAAAATCACTTAAACGCACATAACTCATTACTAAATTAAGATATCCATATAAAATTTGGTACAAGTATTGCTCTCACATACAAAAATAGTACTATGAAATTTTTTTCCGATCGGTCCATAATTGGTCATAGCTCCCATACAAGGTCCCCTCCCGAAAATCACTTAAACACGCATAACTCATTAGTAAGTTAAGATATCCATATAAAATTTGGTACAAGTATTGCTCATATGCACAGAAATATTTCTGTGAAATTTTTTTCTTATCGGTTCATAATTGATCATAGCTCACATCCAAGGTCCCTTTCAGAAAATCACTTAAAAGCACTTAACTCATTACCAAATATTGATACCCATAACAAATTTGGCATACATACTATGTTTGTACACAGAAATGTTATTTCAAAATTTTTTCACGATCGGTCCATAACATGGGTGCGGTCGGTCCCATGCAAGGTTTCCTTCAGAAAATCACTTGAACACACATTACTTATTACTAAATTACGATATAGATACAAAATTTTACTGAAATATAGCTTTTATGTTTTGCTTAAAGAATTTTTTACGATCGGTCTATAATTTGTCATATCTCCCATACTAGGTCCTGCCCCTAAAACCAATTTAACCGTATTTAACTAGCTGCATTATCATTTTGTGTAGAACAAAATTATATACATATGTATATGTATTTTGAAAATCCTTAAATCTTTCACACACATGCACATTATTAAATATCGTTAAAGTATATCTTAGGGCGCTATAAAAATATAAAAGAAATGTTCAATAAATCTTTGAATGTAACAGATTTTAACTGTTTATATCTTGGGGTTTTTCTATTTAAGACATGGGAAAACTTATTTCTACAAATATTTGATAAATTAAAAACGTATTAATATAAAAGTAGCTGGTGGAGGGTATTTAAGATTCGGCTCAGCCGAATATAGCACTCTAACAACTCCCAAACAATGGTTTTAATGACACAAAATTATTGAAAATTTCGTTGAAAAATTCTTAATAAATCTTGATGTATAGATGTCAGAAAAATATGTATGAGAACGATTTACTCTGATCCATAAGTTTGTAATTCTGGAATAAAATGTCAATATTTTTTTGAACTTTATTTACTTTTTTTTAAAGGACGTTGTATAAATATTCCAAAAAATTTGGTAAAAAGTAACCAATTCCTAAATTTTATATTATTACTAGCTATACCCAGTGTGCTTTGCTACCCTAAAAGCAATATAAATAAAAAACCCCACTTAACGATTTTGAAGATTCAAACTATAATATTTTTTTTATATAGATATATGTATATTAAGATGCAAATTTTTCCAAACTTTAATTAACATTTAAATGTAACCCATGAAAAATGTGAATAAAATTATAGTTTCCCAGATATACGCAATTTTGTATTTAATTCATATGGGAGGTGTCAATCCTGCATTGAAATTCCGCCCATTTTTCTCTAAATGTTTACATGAATGTCAAAGTTCTTCACTTAAAAGATTCTAGCTCTAATAGTTTCTCAGATATACAAATTTTTCAATTTAATTCATATGTGGGCTTTAAGCCCCCCAGATGAAAGTCCGATCTTTTTCCTCTAAAATGTTCAGGCGAATATTTAAGTTCTTCGTGAAAAATTTTAAGAATCTTGTTCTATTAATTTTCCTGATAAAAGAATTTTTGTATTTAATTCATATGGGAGGAGCCGCTGCACAGTCGTATAGGAAAAAAAAGAGGGAAATAATTCGGTAACTTCTAAACGGTTAATCCGATTTTAATGAAATTTGGTATGCACAAACAGGAGGTATTGTCGAGTTTAGGTATAGAATCTCCTCATCGAGCACTATGAGCAGTAAATTATCTCTTAAATTATTATTTAAATTTTATATACATCTTCTTAGAAACTTTTTAGATAACTTAAAAAGAAAAAGATACTTTTTTCCCAAAAAAATGACAAAAAATCGCATTCTTTTATTTTTTAAATTAAAATGCCTATAACTTTGGACTCTATAGTCATGATTTTTACATAATTCTTTCACTGCTTGATATATAAACTTGTTGTTAAGCGAATAAAAAAAAATGGCGAAAATCGGGAATATTTGGACCCGCTATTATCAAAAAAACTAAAGTAAGGACGGTAAAAATTTTAAAATTTTAATTTTCAAATGCGAATGTCTCCTAAACTATAAGAGATAATTTACTGCTACATTTTTTATAGTGCTCGATGAGGAGATTCTATATACGATTTTTTTTTTTAAATCGGAACTCAAATGAAGAAATAGGATCGTTTTAAAAATTTAGCATAGCCGAGGTGTCCTAATTTGAGGACCCCCCGCCGGGCCCCTGGTTGGCCTATAAGGTCCAAATTCAAAACCTAAACTCGACAATACCTCCTCTTTGTGCATACCAAATTTCATTAAAATCGGATTAACCGTTTAGAAGTTACCGAATTATTTCCCTCTTTTTTTTTCCTATACGACTGTGGAGCGGCTCCTCCCATATGAATTAAATACAAAAATTCTTTTATCAGGAAAATTAATAGAACAAGATTCTTAAAATTTTTCACGAAGAACTTAAATATTCGCCTGAACATTTTAGAGGAAAAAGATCGGACTTTCATCTGGGGGGCTCAAAATCCCCCATATGAATTAAATTGAAAAATTTGTATATCTGAGAAACTATTAGAGCTAGAATCTTTTAAGTGAAGAACTTTGACATTCATGTAAACATTTAGAGAAAAATGGGCGGAATTTCAATGCAGGATTGACACTTCCCATATGAATTAAATACAAAATTGCGTATATCTGGGAAACTATAATTTTATTCACATTTTTCATGGGTTACATTTAAATGTTAATTAAAGTTTGGAAAAATTAGCATCTTAATATACATATATCTATATAAAAAAACTATTATAGTTTGAATCTTCAAAATCGTTAAGTGGGGTTTTTTATTTATATTGCTTTTAGGGTAGCAAAGCACACTGCGTATAGCTAGTAATAATATAAAATTTAGGAATTGGTTACTTTTTACCAGATTTTTTGGAATATTTATACAACGTCCTTTAAAAAAAAGTAAATAAAGTTCAAAAAAATATTGACATTTTATTCCAGAATTACAAACTTATGGATCAGAGTAAATCGTTCTCATACATATTTTTCTGACATCTATTCATCAAGATTTATTAAGAATTTTTCAACGAAATTTTCAATA